GTGCGTGCGTGCGTGATTTGCGTGAAGGCATCCGGCATTTTTCTAAATTCAACTAAGAGCCCTTTGCTTTTGCAAAACCAAGTATGAAAAATCATGATTTCTCTCGCCGGAAAGTTTGGATAATCCAACTAAAGTTTTCTTAAGATTTAGCCTTTAAAAAGGGGTTGGGGGGATAAATCCCTTTGGTTCACAGATTCCCACTTTGTCTGCACTTGCGAGCCCGGCTAACAGGGGAAGAGCCTCGTTCCCCGGGGCCTGGACACCGTGCTTCTCTGGCCGTGGCTGGTGACCAGCGCTGGGCCAGTGGTGGGCTCAAAGTCTGCGTGGGGTGCAGCCCTCCCCGTGCTGGATGGCTCCCACAGGATGGCTGTCATCTTGCACAGACTCTTCCCCTCTGTGTGTCGAACGGACGGATGCCGTTCATCCTTGTTTCACACCCTCCTCTTCCCCTGGGGAACAATGCAGCATCTGTATCCACAGAATTCCAGGATGGAGCTAAAAATGGGAAAACTCTGCACTTTCACAGTTGACGGACTCAGAAGCTCAAAAGGGGGGAAACCTAGACGGTGAAAGTCCTGTGTTCAGACATCGGCACTCACACATCCGGATCCATCCTGCTTTCTGTCCAGTTGGGAGGAGATAAACAAACATGGTTTCCTTTCTTTTCCAGGGAGGGACCATTATCGGTAGCGCCCGGTGCAAGGACTTTCGTTCCTGGGAAGGCCGCTTGAAGGCTGCTTATAACTTGATCCAGCTGGGCATCACCAACCTGTGTGTGATCGGTGGGGACGGCAGTCTCACCGGCGCCAACATCTTCCGGAAAGAGTGGAGCGGGCTGCTGGAGCAGCTGGCCCAGGATGGTAGGCCTCACTTCCTCGCGCGTGGGTTTCTGTCCCCCGTTCATCTTCCCTTCCCTTGAGAGAGCTGTGAGCGCATACATTCTGCCTGTTTGACTGTCCTAGAAAGTATGTGTTGCTACTGGTGATGCAGGTCTTACAGTCACCACCTCAGGGCTTAGCCTCGTGCCTCAAACACTATCAATAAAGGTAAGAAGTGTACCGTTTATTCCACCGTCCTGTGCGCCCTGGTCCCCTGTTGACACCTGGTTTTGTGTGATGCTCACAGCAGCCACCTGAGTCGGGCTTTGTGCTGATCCCCACTTTACTGTGAGGGTGGCCCTGGCTCACACCAGCCAGTGGACACCCCTCACCATCAGCTCCCCTGGGGTCTCTGTATCCATTTTTACAAGACTCGAGTTTAGATAGTGATGGTCTGCTGTTAGATCATCCTTTATCGTCTCTGAAGCTGTGAATGAAGGATTTTTGAGAATCCTATATATTCGGTGGCTTTTCTCTTTTGAATGTCTTGTTACCTAATTGCACTGTAATATACAGTATGACCAGTGGCAGCAAATTGCCAGAACTAACAGAAGCCATATGAAAGGTGTAAACTTGAACTAAATCTGTTACCCCAACTTCTGTAAAGTCTGTCTGGGGAGTGGAGAGCAGCTGTCAGACGCCGGCAGCCGGGTCCCCAGGACGTCTCTGGGCACCGTGTTCCGGCGCACGGTGGTGACTCCAGAGAGGAAGGGCCGCTTGAGTCCCAGCCTGACTGCCCCGACCCTGACCTGATCCTTCTGGTTCCCTCTAAGCAGATCTGCCAGCCCCGTGTGCCTTTCCAGAGAGCAAAGAGTAGATACTGACGAGAGATGGAGGCTCCAGGGGTCTATAAGGAGTCGGTGTGACAGTTGTACAAAACTCTTAGGGGCTTAATCCTGGGGTGGGGACACGTCTCAGAGCAGACAGTTCTCTGAGCAGTTGCCAGACGGAAGTCAGATCTTTTCCACCAACCTCGACGTACAAGCCTGCTGCCTTTTAATTTTCACACCTGGGTCGGTGCTCTTGTGTGGGTGTCAAATGACAGCTTCTGTCAGTGTCACCAGCTCCCCTTTTGGCTTTTCTCTCTCTGAGTGTGCAGAATTAGGTGGCGTAGAAATCAGAGAACACACAAGAAAATGGGGAGGAATCACGTTTAGAAGCGTGGATTTCCCGGGTGCGCCCACGGAGCGCGTGGCTGCGCCCGGTGACAGAGGGGGTGTGGCTTGTCCCCGACGCAGGCAAGATCGACAAGGAGGAGGTGCAGAAGCACTCCTACCTCAACGTGGTGGGGATGGTGGGCTCCATCGACAACGACTTCTGCGGCACGGACATGACCATCGGCACAGACTCAGCCCTGCACAGGATCATCGAGGTCGTGGACGCCATCATGACGACTGCACAGAGGTGAGGACATGGGGGGTGTGCGGGTGGGGTACTGGGCTGGAGATGTGGGAGCACGTGGTCCTCACTGCGGGCTCCGGAAGGGTCCACGGAGGACGACGGCTTTCTGGTCTGCTTCTCATTTTCAACTTGAAAAAGTCTCCCCCTCCCGATCATAAAAATGTGTTTGTTGGAGAGAATTTAGAAAAAAGAAGAAAGAATCGTCACCTAAAACAGTCTCGTCCAAAGGGCTCCTGCAGGAATTGCAGGAAGGCTGTCTCAACGTTGACGCCCCTTGTTAGAGCTGCGTGCAAACGCCCCTCCCCGTTGTCGCACATCTGCCTGCAGCTTTCCCAAAGTGTCCATGAGGCAGTGGCGTTCTGTCCACGTAATGTGGACTCAGGGCAGAGCCTTTCCTACTGACGCCACCCGCAGCACCCCGGGGTCTCTGACGCTCGCCCACGGGAGCCGTGTGAGCGAGGACCCAGGCCCTGGGACCCCCGGCTCAGGGTCGACGCCCTGGCCACTAGGTCAGCACCTCGCCCCACAGACCCGCGGCCGCTGGGGGCCAAGCCGCCCCTCCACCCTCCCCAGGGCTGCCCTGGGCCGTTAGTCTCCATGTGTGTGGAAAGGCCAGCGTCTCTGGGCGCTGACCCGACTCTGGGACTGCCATCTCCCGCGCGTGCTGTGGGCGACGGCCGGCCGCCCGTTCTGGCCGGTAGAGCCATCGTCCTGGGAGGGGCGTGGACGGGCGTCCTGGCGGAGCGGGCGCGTCTCGGCACCGGCGATCACGGGCTGTGAGACGTGACAGGCGCTGCCGAAGCCCCTCGTGCAGAAGAGCTCGAAACGCATTCTGAGCAGCGTTTGCTTTTGTGGAAAGCGGGGCGTGTCTGGGCAGTGCAGGCGCCTGCCGTGGGGCGAAGCCCCTCCTCTGCTCTGCCTGCTCCTCCCGCGGTGCTGAGTGAGTGTTTCTCTTTTCCAGCCACCAGCGGACCTTCGTTCTGGAGGTGATGGGGAGACACTGCGGGTGCGTATGTGCGGGCGCGAATGGGATGGAGGGAGCCCTGCACCCCAGCGCAGTGTCCCAGGAAGGGTTCACAGGACCCCGCGGGGTCCTGTCTGCCCGGGGCCGCCATCCCCGAGCCCTGGGTGCCTGGCGGGCGGCAGCCTCACACCGCCGTTGCGGTGTCCACACAGGTACCTGGCCCTGGTGAGCGCCTTGGCCTGCGGGGCCGACTGGGTGTTCCTTCCGGAGTCTCCACCAGAAGAAGGCTGGCAGGAGAGCATGTGCGTCAAGCTGTCGGAGGTGAGTGGCGCTCTGCCTGCCTCCTCGGTGCCCGCCGCGCCGCCCTGGCCGTGATCCGTGGCAGCCGTTAGCATCCTCAGTTCGGAGAGTGTTCTAAGCAGGTGGACGCTTTCCGGTCACAGCGGCTCAGGCTTGTTGCTGGGATCTGGGTGTGTCCGTCCACCTTGCGCTGTTGCGGACAGTGATTCAGGGAGTAACGGCCGAGCGTTTCTGTTTCCAAGCACGGCGGCGGTTACAGCTGTAAGAGGAGGAGGTGGTGAGAGCACACGGGGTCTGCGGAACGTGACAGCGGGCGGGGACCTGCATGCGGCCCCCATCGAGGCCCCGTCACAGCGTGCGGCCCATGTAGGGGCAGCTCTTTCCGCCACGAGGTCCCCATCACGATGGCCTGGCCGGGGTCTGACCGTCGGCTGTTTCCTCTGAGCCAGTCCTGCCCTCCTCTGCCTGGGGCTGATGTTTCGCACTGTGAATTGTCAGTGTGCGCAGATTCTGCCTCCCCCACCCCGGGCTTCTGAGGCACGCGAGGCCTCGTGTAACACGATGTGCAGCGAGGTTAGCTTCAGGACGGAAGTCCCAGCGCGCAGGGATTTCCCTTCCCTTCGTCGCACAACCAGCTTATCAGTGTTCGCTCAGTGAAACGTAAGCCTGCAGCAGGAGGCACTGACAGCCGTGTTCAGCAACCACGTGGGCTCTGCATGCGGGACCCGCGTGCCGTGTGCTTCGGGGTGATGCTTCCAAGAAAGGAATTCCTGCAACAGATCAGAGAAGCTCTGCTGACCTAAAACCTGTGCCAGAAGCTGTGCGCAGCCTTTACCAGGAAGAACCACGCACCCTCCTGAGACCAGAGCTCTGCTGTCACGAGCCAGGGAAGCCCGAACGCACCCCAAGGATGCCTGTTCCCGCTGAAGCAGCAGTTTAAGTTCACTGTCCTGTGGCTCTGACCGGGGACGTGGCGGCCATCTCCGCCGGCCAGGCGGCACGGGGCACGTGGCTGGCCGCAGGGGGTAAGCACCGAGCCTCCTGTTAGACCGGTTCATCTCTGCAGCACTGAGGACGTCCCTTCGTCACCACCCGCCGGCGCATGACCTCGGGCACTCCCGTCCCCGCCAGCCTCCTCCCACCCGGGTCCCTGGCCTGGCCCACGAGGACACTACACTGGCCAAGGTGTAGCAGCCGCCCCTTGTCGTAGGAAGCGCTCGGCTGCTCGGAAGGTCAGCAGTGAGGTCGCAGGGCTGAGGCAGGTGGTGGCTTTTAAGCCCTGATGTTTAGATTTCAACGTTATTTCTGCAGCCACGTGGTCTTATCTGCAAACCTCCTTGAGTTTCAGACTCTGTAAAGTGCTCCGTCAGCTAGGAGGCGGGTAAGGACGTGCTTGGACCCCACCCCCCACCTCCGGGTGTTGGCAGAGTCAGGACTGACGGTTTAAACTCCTTGGATGCAAACACTTGATACCAGTCTGCCTATAATTTGTTTTTATTGGTTATCAGTGAGGACCGCGAGGGTTTCTAAGCATCCTGCCGGACTGTCATCCCAGGATGACACTTCAGCATAAAGCGGGGAAGGGCTCGGGGC